ACACAACTACACACACAAACACACTGACACACACAGGCACGCACACAGATTTGCTCGTTTTGTACATAAACATACATTTTCCCAAAAGTCTGATTTTGGAAAGTGTTTTTGCTATCTGGAAGTTATCTCGAAATTATTTTCATTGTTTTTTTGAAAAAAATAACTTCAAAATAATCTATACAACTTCCAGTCAACTTCAATAGAGCCCGGGTCTCACCTTGTACCTCTCACACGGAGATCAATACGAAGCTTAAAAATTGAAAATTGATCCCAACCTGGCATTGGAAGCGCTATGAAATGGACAGGATACCAGTGGCTGTCTAATAGTTGACCAACCCATCGTTGACCTTCCAGAGGTTGGAACATAGAGTTTCTCTAGTACTTCCAAACACAAATGGTCTTGGAAAATCAGCACAAACGCCCCTAGATGCCCGGCGTTCTCCTCCATCAGTTCGGCGCTGACGTGCCCTGCAGGTACCCTGCGCTTCGACCGAATGGGAGGGATGTAACTCACGGTGGAGTAGAAAGAACCATGAGAAACATCTGACAGGGACATGACAGCATTCGGTCAGGGCCAACGTTATTCAGCAGCAGGTTGTCGGCAACACTCATGATTGTTTCAAACATGTTTGCACTGCATGTTGCAATATGCTGCGACCATGGCAATTTCGTCCTGTCTTGGTTCGCACGAAGATTTGCTTTGGAAGTTTTGATCTCGAACTCCTCAGCATCAGATGTGATGGTCAAATGTAATCTTCAGCCATGTCTAAAGGACAACGGCTAACTCACGATAGTGAAGCGTGTGCACTTGACCTGGTAGGCAAGTATGGATATACACAATCAATCAAGTCCTTCAACCGCCCTCCGAAGAATGCACGGCAACTCTTCCTAGCTTTCAATGATTGAAAAGCGGGGGGGCGCAACCCACCGGCCGTCTCCTTGCCACCAAAGGATGATGCCGAACTGCGACTTTTGGATGAGACCTTGCGGATGTCGAAGAGCGGGACTTTTGAGTTATTCGAGATGGCCTCCAACCTACTAGCAATGGCCTCCACCATATTGTCTTGCAATTGTCTTGCGATTGTCTTCACCTCAGCGACTTTCACCGCATGGTCGTGCAATTGCACTGCTCGACTTTCGTCGAAGGCGTCGTCCTGCGGCTGATTGTCTTGCTGCTGGGCATGTGAGATGTGGAAGCGCATTGGATTCGAGCAAATATTACATATATAATATATATATATATATATCCCCCCACGCATGTTTCTCATATTGCATGCTGGATGACACAGTGAACCCCCATCGGCGAAGTGACCCTGCAAGAGCAAAGGCTGTGGACCATGGGTGGGCGCCTTGAGCGCGAAAAAGGTTGGTCAGATTTACTGTCCAAATCCTCCCTCACGCATTTTTCTCTCATTGCATGCTGGATGACACAGTAAATCGCCATCGGCGAAGTGACCCGTCTCTTCCAGCACACACTGTACTGACACCGAAGATCCCACCTTTCCAGCCATCAAGGCTTTGTGCTCTTAAGCAGGGTATAACCTGTTTTGGGGGGAATCTGCGCAAGCTTGAATGTCTTCACACGTTAACACTTGGAAGCAAGGTCGCGAAGTTCATGACACGGTCACGCTGGGCTGAGGACAGGCGCAAAAGCATCTGCATACTTGAAATCTCCTGTATGTAAATTTCCATGACTCGACTATTGAGCCACCGACCACGTCTTCTAACCAACTCGCCGTCTTCACAAGTGTGCATCATCCACGTCGCACCTCCCGACCCAACGTCCAATGTTTTGGAACATTGAATGGACGGGCCGTCCAAATGCACACCTTCAAGATATCAGCAAAGCGGCGACGAAGCGTTTGGTCTGAAAAAGGCCAAAGCCGTTGGTGTCCAACCAAGTCTTGGAAAGCAAGTTCCACCAGGGATAACAAGTCTGGGATATCCAGTTCCGCAGACTGGTCTCGCGGAGACAAACCGTGTCTTTGGTTCACGAAGCGCAAGAAGCGCGTACCTATTCGCGAAGAACGTGTCTTTCGGTAGCAGGAGATCACTGCGGTCATTTGATCCCGCTTCGACAATAAAACTTGCCAAGGCATCGCCAGATCACGCACTAGCTTTTCCTCGCGCGCCCAACTGAACGCCATATCCCAAGCTGCTTGAAGCTGTTGTCTCGATATTGGTTTGAAGCTCGACACGCTGTTGCATCTGCCGTAAAGCAACACAATCTCATTGATCTTTTCAACATTCTCTGCAGCATCAAGAAGGAGGGCGCCCATATTCGAAACCCACACTCCAACACCACTCCAAAAAGCCTTTGGGGAGTCTGTCTCTGTATATGAGGCCAGGTCCGTCACAGGCCGGCCTTTAAGAGGTGGCGGTCGCAACAGTCGCAGCTGAGTTCTCTTCCAGTCTCCAGGAGTGCAAGGTCCCAAAACACCATGGCTCTCCATCGCTCCGGCTACAAAAGACATGGAAGGAAGACAGACAAGAAGACAGGACAGGAGAGGGAAAGGAAGAGGATAGCGGAAAGAAAATCCAGGCCCTTAAGCACCTGGGAAGCACAGTGAGGAATCAAAGTCCATGGAGTGGCTAGGGCAGTTGAGTCGACGCTTAAGTCTATAAGAGTGTGACAAATCCAAGGAAGGCCATTCAAATCCATGACGACGGGCACTGGATGGAAGTCCAAAAGAGAAAATCCAGAAAGTTCAAGGTGAGGCACACCCAGCTTGCAGCCCAACGACGTCAGGCATTCTCACAGACCTACCACTGTTTGGATCATCAGAAGTGTTCAGCCTTGTAGGGACATAGGGCAGCGTAAAGTAGAGCGCTCCCGCCAGGACCACTGCATTGTACTATGGAGCAAAGAGGTCAAAGCACGCGACGAAGATCTCGCTGCGCATCTGATGACATTCGAGTCGGCAAAGTTCACAACTCGCAACGACCTTGGAGCTCTGGCCATTCTTCTCTCTGCGAGACGAGGTAAAGATGTCATCTCCAGGCGGTTTATATGCCTCTCCCTCTCTATCTTCGTGCGTCCACTTGCTTGAAGTCGCCACAGGTTCACAAACTGGTTCTCCAGGCCTCTCACTGAGCCTGAATCGTAGGACCGCATCCAGTCGTCTCTCGCCTGAACTGCGGCGTGGAAACAACAAGCAATCTCATGAGCGAGTTCTTCAGTATATGAAGCTGAAGCCTTCGTGAACTTGCCCTCCACCGTGACACGCTTGCTGTTTCGATCACACCGTCGAGCGAGGTGGTCTATGTCCATATGGGCGGCCATCATCCTGAAGCTCTTTAAATGAGGAGAACCAAAGGCACACGAGTCACATCTTCTCGTCTGAACGTTCTCATTTCATTCAAGCGCCTTCCAGGAAGGGAGGTAGGAGGTAGGGCATCATGCTGCTCCAAGGCTGCTCAAGCAAACCAGGTATGAACATCCTCAAGCAAGTAGCTAAAATGGCCAGGGCTCGGAGCGCAAGCTGGTTCCGTTCATACAGTCATGGCCAAAGGGGAGTCCTTCGAGCGTAGGGCAGGTCGTCGGATCAAAGAAAAAGAGGTACACACCGGCCCAATCATCACACTTGTGAGCTTGTGCGAGGTGAGGAGATATGTGATCCAGGACAACACATGGGGCAGCCTCGTATCCAGCTCTCCACTAAATGAGATATCTACCGGGGGGGCACCACCATGCCAAGCTTCACAGCTGCAGCTGAAACTTGAAAAGATCCTGCATATACTTCAAGGAAGTCGTAGGTGAAGGCAATCGGTCGTTCAACAAGCGATCCAGGAATGTTCATCCTCATTTTCGACCTCATCTCCTTCCTCGCGCAAGCCCAAGCGGATCATCAAAGATTCGAAAGGAGTCTTCAACCTGCTGTAAGCTCCCTTTGAGCGACATGCCCTCCAAATAGCAACGTGGTGCGCAGGAATGCCTGTGGAGGTGATAGCACCATGAGAGTCTGACGCATCGGTTGAGTAGACCACATCCTCAAACATGGCACCAAGATCAGACACTGCTAAAGGTGCAAGTACTGCTGCCACAGTGAGCTCGGAAGCAATCTTCCTGGACAGAGGAAGTATCCGTGGACGAAGGCTATCAACAGAGGAAGCATCTACAAGTCGGTGAGCTTCAGAGAAGCTCCCCATCAAAGGTCTCCGATACAACATCACTGAGGTCCATGCCCCCAGCGCACAGAGATGTAGAGCATCAGAAGTATGAGAAAGCTGAGCCAGTTGGAAGGGAAGTGACGCTGAGGCTCAACCTCTTAGACATAGGAGCACCACAAGTAGCGACTCCCTGAGTACAAGCACACGCACCAGTGTTTATGTCAGCTCCAATGACCTTTGCTTTGAGCTCTGCTTTGACGTTTTTGGCCGAGACGACTATAGGGTCGTAGTTCTGGGAAAGCTTCACTATCTAAACGAACTTCATGGCCAGTGAATTGACGGCCAATGGCATCCTGTCAAAGGCACCCGGAAAGGGTACAGGGACAGGGTCGAAGGTGTAGTCCCCGAGGCAATCGAAGAGAGAACGACAAAAATGCTGAGAAAGGCGATCTAGTCCTGAGAACATTCGGAGCCAGAGTTGCACACAAATCCCAAAAAGTGAAGGAACAAGAGAAGAAACGAAAAGGGCATCGCCATCTTGTCATCAGAAGGGCCAGGATTAGGAGCAACATCACAAGATGCACGCTCCTCGTGAATTCTGCCCAGGTTGTCAATCCCGAATCCCGGTTGCCTGGGCCTTCACGCAGCTGCGCTCATAGTCGGTAGCCTTTGGGGCAGAAGCCTTCTCACTGTCCATGAAGGTGGTATCAGAGGGCTGAAAGGGCGAGCGGTCGAGGACACAGCCATAGCCCTCTCCTGGAACATGGCGATCGGGGGCTCTTCCAACAGGGAGATTAGATCGTAGTTGGCCTGCTCCGCTGCCATTTTTATAGTGTTCTCGGCAACCAGCCATGTCTGAGTGAGCGGCCGCATCGACAGCATGAGCCACCATCCATTGCAAGCCCAAGCTCCTCTGGTTTTTGTACCCACCGGACTTTTCCAGATACTCTACGAAGGAAACTCTACCAAGCTCCTCCTCGGATTTGGGCAATGGCCTGCCCGGACAAGACGTTTGTGAACCTGCTGCATCAAAAGGAGGAAAAAGTTCCCGGACCGTCCTGCTAGGTCTGCTTGAAGCTTCTCTCTTCGCATGACCACTTTCATCGAGGATGAACTTTGAGAGGTAGAGGACAGGTCTGCCAGGCGATCCTGCCGAGTCAGGTGAGCAACCAAGGCCGTGATAGCTGTCGGCGGTTGACAATGTGACCCGGGTCCTGCCCCAGATCTCCGGCTCCAAGCATCAAGGCATTGGGCTCATCTCCACTCGTAGGAAGAGGTTCAAGGCCTTCAGCGCTGACGAACGCAGAGCGTCTGACAGCACGGGAAATCTCACCGACCTGCCAGCGGGCGGTGCGGCGACATCTTTTGCAGAGCCATGAGTAGGGCCACCCTTCTCCAGGGCGTCCTGTCGGGTAGCAAGAACCTGCGTCTGACTTGCCAGTAGGTGGAGCTGCTCTAGAAGGGCTGCATTGGTCACTCTCTTGGAAGCAGTGGTCGCTTTCTTGGCCGGAGTCTTCGGTGTACCTGGTGTTCTCAACCCCGGGTCTTTTGAGCCGAGAAAAAAGGAGCACCGCTATCATCTATCCATGCCTTGACAGTTGGAAGCAAAGGAAGAGGTCTGAGGTATTATGGCCTGCAGGGCAGTCTCATGAAAAGCAACGATCGCCGCATCCGAGTCAGTCACTGGATCGAACTCACAACAAAGGCCCAAGACCTTGTCGCTCACATCAATGACCGTCACAGGGCCAGAAAAACCCTAAGGCAAAGCGCGTCCATCATCTGCTTCCTCAATGAAAGGCACTTCAACACGGAGCCACGACGGGAAGCCAGCCGGGTAATCTCCTTCCAAAATCATGGGGCCATGAGGAATACACAGCAAAAACCATCTCCTCTCCCCAACAGAGGAACACTCTAAGGTCTCTCCTTCTGTAAGGAAGTCCAGCCTGACCACAAGGAGTGAATGGTCAGGGGAATCACTTAGTGATCAAGACGAGGCAGATGAAGCAGAGGCGCTCTCAAACGCAAAAGGCCAGCCGTCTGACGGCTGCCACCAGCTCATCGATGTCCTCCTTCATGACTTGGCTGCTCATTCACGATATCCACCCACTCTTGCGCGCCGGACCAAATGAAGAGCCCTGGCTGTCTCCACTTCGACCTCCGTCCACGGCCGGTAGAGCTTGAGGGCAGAAAGGGCCAAGAAAGCAAGAGCAAGCAAGGCCAAAGTCAGGCCCAAGCAAAGGCCAGCGGCGAACCAGGGAAGGGCCGACGCCCCGCAATGCAAGGGGCAGGAGAGACGGAGGGAGAGCTCAGACAAGGCTGAAAAGGACTCGACGAACTTCACTACCCTGTCGAACACTGCGTTCATCCTGACAATCCATGGCCGCCACCATGGCCTTCAGGGCCTTCAGCTTCCTCGCAATCAGCTGGTTTTACTGCGGAATATGGGTCCTCAGTAACTTGAATTTGGTCGATGAAACCTTCACACAGGACGTGGCCTTTGAACATGCCTTGAGCACGAAAACGGTTGGTCAGATTTACTGTTCATATGTTGTATTATTCAATAGCATTGTATTTATTCAGGGCACTCCGTGGCCAATTCGGCCCGGCCGCTTGCAGCAGTTTGTAGGTTCGGTGCGACCAGGCGCAAAGGGAACACCTGTAGGATGAGCTCGTTCCATCAAGAATAAAGGACAACAAATTGCCGTGAAATCTCATGCCTCCAGCTGCAAGTATATTGTCTACTTTTAAGAAGTACTGAAAGTACTGATGGACATAACAGTGTCTTGAGTATGTAAAGGAGGGTGGGAGGGTCTGCTTCTCGAGGCTCTAGGCTAGAGGCAAGACCTCCCTGTTTTTAAGACAGGGGGCGCGAGCCGCTCATGGTTTTGTTAAGCCAGACGGAAGCGGAGGGCATTCAGCGTCTCAGGGACCTCTTGAAGCTTGGGCTGTCAAGCTGGCAGTGCGCAGATGGGCCACACGCTTGGAGAATAAGAGCATCGTGTTGCGCAACGACAGTGCGGTGGCATTGGCGATGACAAAGCGTTTGTCATCCCCCTCACCCGTGGTGAACTGGGTGGGGGCAGAGCTGGCCATCAGGTTCGACAAACATGGCATCACAGGCGCGTGGTGACCCAGCACATTCCCGGCGACTGGAATGTGGAAGCGGACTGGCTGTCACGACCCCATGAATGAGGACCGAAGCCGGAGAGGTTGGAGAAGGTGCCCATCAAGTTAAGACGTTCCCAAGGAACCTCGTGCACCGATCTTACCTGTCCCCGCCTGGGATTGCGCCGCACCTTTGGGGTGCCACGGCACAGCAAGTCTCGGGAGCCTTCGAGCTGCTTTGAAGGGTGAGGATGAAAAGTTGATTGCGTTCGTCATTCTCGGCTTGAGGGAGGACGGGGGGGGGCAGGTTTTGATAGGTCGGCTTCGAGGTGGTCTGGCCGAGGGTCGTACGCGTCGGTCGGATCGTGTCGGAGGCGACTTGTGCTCGAAAAGCGCCGGGAGAGCTCATGATGGCTCAAGTGATGGTGAGGCAGACTACCCCCATCGCGGCGGAGGCGAGGGTCACGGAGTGGTCGCGCGGCGAATACGCCGTGATCGCTGGCTGGGGTTTCTTTGTTCTGGGCCTCCTGAAGAGCCTGTGGTCGGTGGTCAGCTGGATTTGTACTCCGCAGAAACCAGGTAGCGAGGGAAAGGCGGAGGCATCAACTGTCCGAGAGGTGCGAGAGACCATATGTTCGCAGTGTGGCAAAGCAAACGAAGAAAAGGACCGGGGAAGATGCTCGTCTCCAGTGAGGGAAGAAGCAAAGAGAAGGCAGTGCAGCACTACACCGGAGAGAAACCAAGGGATGAGAGTCACTCAGATGCAGGTTTCCCCAGGAAGATCTCCGGAAGCTCAAGTAGCTCGTACTCAGATCCTCGAGGCAATGGTGCAACGGGCGCAACCAGTGGCGCAAGACCTTCGCGACATGCATCGCCTTGGTGGTGTGGGTCCGGGCCCTATGCTGCGACGTGGATCCCGCATTCCATGAGCACGAGAAGGACGTTGGGGGTAATGAACCTTGGATTCAGGGACCCCATGAACTGCATGAACAGTTTAATTCAGAATCGAGTGCGTGGTGAAGCTCACCATTTTGGAGAGCAACAGCGGCAAGTCCCCCCCATGAGGCGGTAAAAGAAGGAAGAGCAACTCACGCCATCGGAAGGGAGGGCAGCAGCCGCAAAGAGAGGTTCCTTTTAGGAAGTCATGGACATCCTGAAGGGCAAGGAGAAATTGGCCGAGGCCAGGCGGGAATTGAGAGAGGACTTCATGGCCAAGTCGTCCAGGGCGGCTCAAAAGACGAAAAGAGAGCAAGTCATGGCCATGGCGAAGGAGGCTTGCGATGCAGGAGAAAACCTTTTCCCCCTGAGCATCATCACGGTGGAAAACGTGTCAGCAGCAATAAAGGCTGTGGGTTGGACTTCGGGTGATCAATACATCAACGAGTTGAAGCTGATGCACATTGAAGCCGGTTGGGAAGTGAGCCAGCAGCTTGACAGAGCCTTGGCTGACTGCAAGCGACCCCTCAGAAGAAACAGAGGCCCCGTGAAGAGAGCGCCAGAGTTTAAACTGGACGACATCGAGCACATCAAGTGGATACTGACCTGTAGAGGCCCCAAGCGAACGATCAGGCCAGCTTTATCATATGCATGGGCGGTCATCTGGATGCTGAAGAATAGAGGTGAGTGCGATGAGATGGAAAGACATCTCGGTCGATTGGGACAGAAAGAGGATATCCATTTCCATCCCCATCTCGAAGTGCGACCAACAGGGCTTGGGAGTTCGAAGAACTCTACAGCGCTGTTTTGGCAAAACTTGCCATAGATGGTGCCCATGGAGATTGTGGATGGAAATGTGGAAAGCACTACATGGTGCCCAAAGAGAAGCTCAGGAGTTCGTCTTCCAGGATGTCGAGGGCAAGAAACTCTCTAAGGCGAAGATGGTGGAGGGTTGGGCCTTGGTGACAACGGCAGACATTCAAGGCCACTCGGCAAGAAGATCTGGAGCTATGGGCTACGTGCGGCTGGGCATGCCCATACAGGAGCTTGCCTTCTTGGGGCGCTGGAAATCATCGGTCGTGTTGACCTATGCCGAAGATGCACTTCAGTCAGAACCAGCCAATAAGAATCTCAAGAACAACGACGAAGTCAAGCCCAGAAGACAGACAAAGACCCAAGAAGGAGGATCACTGAAGGAGATCACCACAGGTCCTGGACTTCCTGCAGGTACACCCATAGCTAAAGGACAGGATGGAAGAACCGACAGCGACTAAGAAGAAGTGTCAGCTGGTGGTGACAGACCTATGGGTGGCTTCAACCGCCTACAACTCGCGAGAACCGGTTTGGCATCAAGTTGAAGAAGCGGGATGGGACGTGCCCATAGAGACATGGACCTCGGTGTGTGGCTGGCCTTTCAGCAGAAATTCTTTGAAGGTGATCCTCAACTCGCAACTGACCATCCCACAAAGAAAGTGCAAGAAATGCATGAGAAGAACTTGCGGCACGGCCATGGAGGATGGAAGAGCAAGTTCAATGTGATGCAACTTGGCTGTGGAAAGCACACCGCAAGACAACCAACCAAAAGTCGAGTGCGAACGCTGTACTAGCTACTTGACCTTAGGAGGGAGGGTGGGAAGTTTCATACCCCACGCTGGTTGTCCTATATATACTGCAGGTGGAAATAAGTAAGGGCTGATATGTCACATTTGAACCCCTGTTACATTTTGGGGGAGGCAAAATCAATGCCTTTTGCTAATATGACCCATAACAACAATGTCCTTATCATGTGCGCAATATTTGGTCGGTTCCACATGGTTACACGGCCACGTTCGAGTCTGTGACAATAGCTTGGGCCACAAACAACCGGAAGTTGAAGTTTGCTGTTTGGACCCTTTAACCAAAGCATGGTGACGTAGTCCGTTGTGTGTGTGAGAGCAGGAGCAGCTCTAGTTCTGTGTGGGGCATGGGCAGTCTGTACAACAGTTCTCATGCTATCAATCGATGGTCCCGATAATTTCAAGGGGTTCAAACGTCTTGCCCAAAAAGGTCAAATATAATCCGAGATTCTAATCAAACATGTTCGAAGGCTATATATTCCTAAAGTGTCTTGTGACAACTCTTGTGCCCTTAGGACCTTAGGATAATCACCAAGTGCCGATGGAATTTGAATATCACCTGGCTCTTGACTGCATGCGTAGATTTGGAGGAAAACTTGCACTATATAATTCAACTGTGGATTGGTTTGGTGCAAACAAAAGAGCTGAGAACAAGTACAAAACTCCATGAGGACAAACAGTTCCATCAAAAATCCCGCGTTACAAAAAGCTCGAGGAGTTGCTTAGAATGGATGTGCCAAGAAGGGAAGGGCTCGGATCTCCATGAGACCTGAACCCTTGCCCGATTGATTCCACGAAAAAATCCACGCCCAGTCCTTTGTAGTCGGCGTTGCTGTGTGGTCCCGTATCGTGCTTACTTCACCCGTGACTGGGATGGCCTGGTGCGAGGCTGGGGATGTCCGAGCTCTGCGCTTGATCAATCACTCCCTCTTGAAGGGATTGGTGATGTCAAGTGCAGCCATCGCTTTCTCTTGAGTCATCAACAGCCCTTGCGTTCTTGTACGCTTCATAGGGCAGTAGCTACATCATATGGAAGACCTTTTGAAACAGCACAATCCATGCCCTGAGCAAACCACATGGCCAAGCTCGAAGTGCCTAACCCCTAAATTCCTCTGGTACAGGGTACAGAAGAAACTCGCCAATTTGTCCAACCAAAAAGGTCATTCTGCAACTTGTCCGCAAACACTCGTTTTAGTCTCTTGCCTCAACCTGAGGTGCTGGGAAGATGTGAGCCTTCTTGGATGAATCAGCAAGAGCCTCCTGGCGGCTTGACATGGAGGTCTCACCATAGCAAGGCTATGAAAACGACTATGGGGTCTTCTCTTGTGGGGAAGGTCCAATTTCTCTGAGACGCAAATGGAAGAATGAACTTTGAGAGTTTAGGCCTGCGTGCAGTCCAACTTAGGGCTGCTGGTGCAAGCGCTTGGAGGCAACTCCTGACAGAGAGTCTGCAGTCCTCTCAGTCTGACATCAGTAAAAAAAACTCACAATAACCTGCCGTTTATTTGTATGATGCTTGGTGGGTCATTCAAGCAAACTGACTCTGAGAAACGCTTTAAGGCAACGAAGAAACCGTTGCTTCATTGTGGTTTTAAGTGTTGGCTTCCATGCCAGCAGAAATAGACGACATCTGTTGCAAAGGCAGGACCAAAGGTTCAAAGTGTTGTAAAACAATGTAAAACAAGTAGCGATTCCCTGACGACAAGTACTCCAACAAGACACCAAAGTGTCCTAAACACACTTCACTATGTACAAAGTGTCTCATACTCCCTACTGCATGTCCCATCATCCCGAGTTTTGGCGATGTCACTTACAAGTCTGTACTAAATTGTGCAGTTTCCTGCATTGCGGGCAATGAGGGATAGATGTTACGGACACGTTTCAGCTTGACGTCATTCGTCTTTCACCTCCTTCAAGCATGGATATGGTTCATGTCCTTCAAGCATTGATGTGGCGGCATGATGTGGGTCAAAACTTTTGCTCGTCTGGGATGAAACTTTCATACAGGCCCATACACCACAGTTTTCAGGTTCCGTCGTCAGGACTGGGATGATTCTTGATGCATCTTGATGCCACCGCAGTAGTGTCAGTGTGCTGTATAATAATGAATGATGGTCTAGCTTTGCATGTGGCAGCTGTGATGTAACATGATGTAACCCCCTATCAAAAAGGATCATTACTGAAGGACTCTAATTCACTTCAAGAGGCTAAAATTCCCATTGCTATATATTTTGTGCAAAAGAAAGGAGAACTCAGGTAGCTGAAGCTGTTTGGACTCGGGGGCTCCATGAACACATCACCCAGCCACCATCCCACACTCCTCTGGCGCATCACCAGCACTGGCGACTACGCTGACGGCATCTCGGCACGCCTGGCTGACGGCATCGGAGACATTGTGTCCCAGGTCCAGATTCGGTTCGGTGGCGGAGTCGATGCGCTTTACCTTGGCTCAGCGTCGCCTTCTCCAAATGTCATACCTTCCTATCATCGTTAAAGTTCGGACCAGAAGGTGGGCTTTATTTCCATCGACTTCTGCTTACGACTGAGATCCACCTTAGCAGACTTTTGACGTTTCCCGAATGCGTAGTGAAGGCTTCCTGTTTAACTCTGGGAGCTTCGGGTTGTCCTGCAGTCGTCAACCATTTGCAACCGTCTGCAGTCGGCAAACAGGTTCGCACTATGGCCTGCTCATTGGAAGAAGTCGTGGGATGGAACGATGATGTCTCAGATTCGTACGAAGGGTAGAAACATGACTTAGGCGCGATGTTCGATCTTTCTGCGCAGGTGAAGCGTTTTTCGTACTGGGGTTGGGGTGGGAGGGTTTGCCTCGAAGCTGTGTTTTCATGACAGCTCAGCAAAAATGATGATTTTGAGTGATGCGGGTAGACATGAAGGTGGCATAAGTCAGGCGTGCAGAATCGAAGATTCCGACGTCTGGCGCAGGTGATTGTTGCTGTGCCATTGCGATCAGTGTGTGTGTGTGTGTCTGCGTGCTCTTACTGAGGAGACTTGCATTGGGCTGCCTGAGTGCAAACTCCTACGAAACTTCTCGCTTCAGTTTGGAGCTTTGAAGACTTGATGTTTCATTTGTGGAGTAAGATGAGGAAGTCTCAAACAAAATGCTTGTTGGGAGACTTCACGCGTGACTCATGGAGGAAAGCTCGAACGAAATGCTCAAGAGACTTGCGCGTTACTTTTGGAGAAAGTCTTGAACGAAATGCCTTTTTTGGAGACTTGGAGCCTTGCGCGTGACTTTAGAAGCGAGAAGGAAAGCAAAATATACTTTTTTTTAGCCAGCTCTGCCGCTCTGCCCAGCTACTATTACTAGGACGCTACTACCTACTGGGCGCAGGATAGCTCACGCTTCTTCAAGGAAGCTCCCTCCATGGAGGCGATGGTGTACTCTCTGATCCTTCGGCCCTAGTGTCACCAATAAGACTTGCGTGGAAATGCTCGAACCCTAATCTGGAACAACCTTTGTGTCGCTAAGCTAATTCCAACCAATGCTTGCGATGCGTGTGTCCTATGGGGGAGCCAGGGTGTATTTTGTAGTGACATATAAATGGACAACACCACACCGGGAAAGGGGCAAAGAGTGGGAATAATACGGCATCGTGGAGAAAAACCTATGCCCTGGAAACCTATGAGGATAGAGGTGCAAGTACCCCACGGTAATACCGGATTGTTCACCTAATTTAGAAGCAAAACGCAACAGCACCAATGAAACATAACGCTGCTGAATTAAGTCATATTCACTCTACTACATGTGGCAGGGCTATTGTTCCCAAAGACCATCGCCTGCCCTCACAGCCAAGTCTCAACTGCAGAAGATGGCTCGACCACTTGTTGCTCTGGGTCTATGCTTGCTTGGCTCGGAGCCGTGCCTCAGTGTGGATCCACCGAAGGCATGCAACTGATGCGAGCAAATCCGACTGAGATCGGAAGCTACTTGTTACTACTAGCGTGGCACTTGTTACTAATAGCTTCTTGTTACTACTAGTAAGGCACTTGTTACTACTAGCGTGGCACTTGTTACTAGTAGTAACAAGAAGCTCATGAGGCTCTTTTGAAAAAATTTAGACCTGTGGTGTGTGATGTGTTGTTTCATGCTATTACATTAGTTTTTCATGAATGGGGAATGACAATCTTCCCTACAGTACCCGTCTTGATTGCTGCAATTACATTGTGGTTTTGACATCATGAGCTGCATCTGGTTTCAGCTGCATCTTAGATCCCCTGCCTCCAGGTGTGACTGGTTCGACCGGCTGCTCTGGCCTCACCGGCGCCTCTTCACGCAGCTGCTGCTTGGGTGCCACTGGCTGCCCAGCTGTCACTGGACGCTTTGGTGTCAAACGCTCCGACCGAGGCTGCTTTGGCATTGGCTGCTTGGGCTGGAGCTCAAGGTGCTCAGGCGCTGGCCAGTGCTCTGCAGAGAACACCTCCTGTACTGAGCGATTTGCAAGGAGCGCTTCATCTGCTGCTGAGTGGCTGTCACCGCCCACAGAGGCCTCTAAACTGGGCAGTTGAGAGCTGTCTGTTGCTCAAACTACAAGTGTTCGTGACATGGTTAGAAATCTCCTTTAATGTTGCAGACACCAAGAATGCCCTCTGCTTGACTTGCCAGCTTGCATTGCACGGCCTCTTCCACAGCGGATTTCACCAACTCCTCGGGAAAGGTCTCTGTTTGAGAAGGAGTTGCTCAAATCTCCCTCCACTTGACTTCTATTTTTGGTCTGCTGGTTCGCTCTTGACATGTCTTCGCGCCAGGGGAGACTTCTGCCATGGACCTGTTCTCAAAGAGTGCAATTTCAGCATTGTGGGCCGAATGGCTGGCGCCCGCGGAAACCTTGCCACCATTCATGACCCTGGTGTTCATCAGTCTTCCGAAGGCACCAGAGGGGGCAATGAAACATCTTGCACAATCTCAACATGCTTTGTGAAGTCTGCCCCTCAAATGGGAAAGGATCTAATTAATAATCGTGCACTTGCGGTATACCTGCTGCGATAAGAGAATGCCGACAAGTCCTTGCTGTTTTTATGCAAACTGTTTGGGGCAATGAGAACTCCAACCCAAGGCCGAACACATTGCCAAGTGGCTGGGGCCCGTCCATCACACCTCGTCTCCGCCTGAGCCAGCTCACTTCGGGGAGACGTCTCCACTGTTTGAACTCTATGCTGGCACAACTCTTTTACTCGTCGTCCGCGGAGTATCAACATGGATAGAACATGATAAAAATTGAGAAAATGAAGATGTATATGTCGAAACCAAGGCGAACCTAACGGCAAGGCCCAGACGCAACCATTTCCACCATGCGTGCGAAGGAAGTAAGGGGAGCAATCACCGACAGCTAGAAGCCAACATGTCACGAATCAAACGGTGGAACAATCGAACAGCACCCCCAAATTCATGTTGATTCGACATCTCACGAGGAAGGATGCTGTATTGGCTTCTTGAAGTCGGATCTTGGCTGAAGCTCCTTTGGAGCGTCGTCTGGCCATGGGATCATCTTTGCGGAGTTTCAATTCCTCCTTTTCGTCCCAGAGAACCAGTTTCGACGTCCTCAGCAAATCTTCTAAAGCTCCATTCGATCTAGTGATATCGGCCTTGGTCAGGCCGTCCGCGATCATGCGTGGGTGAGGAGTCCAACGCACCACACTCTGAGCTTTTTGGAGTGACTCCAGTATTATGCTCAGCTCCACTGAAGTACGTCTATCTTGTCGAGACATGGGCGATTGCTTGAGGAGAGCGTCAAAAAGGCTCTTGGCATCTGTAACATGACATTGTTGCAACCTCTCTGCCAGCTGACAGTTCTCTCTAAGCGCTGGTAAAGGAGGCGTGAGCGACTCAGTCCAATCTCTTCGAGAAACGTCTCCTTTGACTATGTCTCTGATCATGATCTGAATCCACTCCACCTCGCCCAATGACTGATTGAACGCCAGCGCCTCTCCAGCAAGGGTAGAAGCAACTTTTCGTCTGAGATTGCACGACCGCCAACTCAACACACTGACTTTGATCTTCTGCGATGCGCTCGGAAGCCTGTCCGCGGCCATGATCACCCAAGCTCCTTGAACGGTGTCAACCTCATTGGAACCTGGCGAAGGAAGACCATCCACCTCCGGCGTCTGACGCAGAGATCAATATCATGTCTTGATTGCTAAAGGAATGAAGTGTCAGCTTCTGTTGCGCTGTGTTTCGAAGATGAGAGATCAACTTGTTGAGACAGCACACGTCATGAACAGCAGCTTCCTTAAGCCGGGAGGACAGAATGCTGATGGCTCCTGCCGCCTCAGGACGTGTTTGATGAGCAACCCAAGCCACCCGGTAGAGCATGGATCGAAAACTCTCGAACTCATCAGGCATCAAGGGTGCTGACTTGTCGGTCTTCCGTCCAAGAGACAACCTGACAGGGTGCAATTTCTCAATGATGTATTTCTCTTGGTCCATCTCTATCTTGCCAGGGAGGATCTTGACATGGCGACCCGCAAAGTCGGCTTCGTCATATTCCATCTTTCCAAACCGAAAGCGTTTGCTCAGCTGTTCAAGCAAGGGTTCTCTCAAGTTCTTCCGGGCTGCCACATTCAAGTCATCAACTTCCACTATAGAACCATGGCTTCTACTTCGCCCTTGTCATCTCGGCGAACATACCAACACGGTTCAAGGAGACTCCTCTCAAAGCCAAGCTCCGTCAGGTAGCCGATCACTGTCTGATGCCACCTGAGAGGAGCGTCCTCAAGGCCATACACAGGAGCCACCAATTGTATCAACGTGCCAGCTGGGAGCCCTAGTCCCTCACATGCTTCAACATAAAGCTCTCCTTGAGGTCTTACCAAGGGTTCAGACTGACAGAATGCCTGAGTCACATCGCAGAACGTGACTGTCAAGTCCAAGTTGGTGCACAGCTGAAAGAAAATGGAAATGCTCTCTGTCATAGGCATGGGTGCATAGGTGGAATATGAGCCACTATCAGGATCACTGTGACCCAAGACGCACCAACGTGATTTGAACTTCCACTGGCCAAGACCTGGCATGGGCTTCTTTCTTCTGACGAACCTGGATTGCAGAATGCGATGAGGACATTGACGTCGCACCTTCTTGGAGTCATCTGGACTTAGGACCTTGATGGCCTTCAGGTCCAAAATAGTTTTCCATTCTGCTTGATCAGCTGCCTCAAATCCTCATCTTTCTTCGCAGGTGGCCTCCTTCATGTTGAACTCTTGGTTTTTGGTCTTGATGGGCTTCACCATCAAACACTCATTCTCCACCTTGAACTCGAGGAAATTCAAGGCCTCCTCGCTCATCTCAGCCAGAAGTTCTTCCTTCCAGGCGATCATGGAATCCTCCTGTTCTTGTTGAGTTCGACATGGAGCGGAGTCGGTGGAGGCTGAGGCCGTAGAGCCTCCTTCTTCTTTCTCCGGAGTTTCTGATGAGATTGAACGCGGAGCTGACGCTTCTGACCTGGCTTCTTTTGCTTCTTGAAGTTTTCGGATCTTGTCCTCACGCTCCAACCTCTTCAGAGTACGAAGAGCTATTTGCTCTAGATTCTTCTGCCCTTGATCCGAAAAGGTCCTCTTGGAGCCACTTCTTGGAGTCTTGGGTTGAGATACTGATTCTATGATCTTCTTCTTGCATGGCTGGTCATCATCTTGGTCTTCATCTGGTTTTCGTTTCGAGGTCATGGAGGCCTCGCTGTTGGAATGACTTGCTCCTGAATCCAACGAGTCTCCTTCCAAGACAGGAGGTCTTGGCACTTCAATGGATCTCAGATTGCTCGAGGGCTCAGACTTCTCTGCTGACACAGTCTCCTTCCGCTCTTCTTGACTTCGACTGGGCATGCTCAAGGTGTGATCAATCTCCGAGGATGGAACTGGGCGAAGCTCAACATCTTCAGGAGGAGGTCCCTCGGATGACACATCGACTGCACCCGCCTTGCTAGATCTGCCTTGCTTGATCAGCTCCTGTAGTTCACCTGCACGAGCCATATCCGCGCCTATTGACTCATGATGCGATGCTGGCCTCAGCTGATCACTGTTGCATTTCCAAAGGCGAGCCCGCATGGAAACCCACACGGTATGTCCAGCTTGAAGAACAACAATTTGGGGGTGTCCATCTGGCGCGAGTGAGATGTCCTTGCCCTGTGCCAGGAAACTTTCGCCACACGTAGACCCACTGGCCTACAGTCCAATTTCTCTGCTTGTGAATTCGCTGCCTGGTGGCAAGTCGAATCTTCTCCTTGCTGGTGGCCTCGATGCACAGCTGCTTGGCTCTTTGCCTGATGTGATGTGACCTGTTGAAGGCAGCTGCGGCGGTATCTTGATCATAAGCATCGGCATCAATTTCTTGCCAGCCCAAGTCTTGTGTTGCTTCGTCTGACAACAGCTCGGTAGGCACCCTTGGATTGGTGCCAAAGACCAATTGGCATGGGCTATACCCACCCCGAGAATACCATCTGTTCTTGCAGGCTACCATGGACAGAACGAGTTCCTCTAGGTCTGCTTCGGTTGCGACCACGCCCTGTCCGGACGCAACCTCCAGTTCAGCTCTCTCCTTGACCCAACCTCCGCGGCGCTCAACTTTTCCGTTCTGCCATGGAGATGCAGCGTCAGTGATGATCTGGAGTATTCCGCGCTGTTCTGTCTTCCGTTTTTGAATTCGGAACCACCATCACAGATCAGAGTCTCGGGAATGCCATATGGTTGAACCCAAATTCGGTGAAAAAGTCTCCACGTTTCAACCGAGGATGGAACACCTCCGTCATAGCTTCTCAGGAGTCCAACTTGCTGATAATTGATTCCATGACACACGTCATTCAAGAAAGCATAGGTGCGGTTGGAGAAGGAGAGGAAAAAATAGTCCACACTACTATTCTATTAAAAGCGAAAGTCCTTGGAACTGCAGCGAGACGTCTCTCCACGGGTTTCCTTTGTCTCATGCATGAGGAGCACTGAAATCTGTCACGAACGTACTTCAGCACGCCTTCTTTGGCGTTGGCCGCTCGCAGCATGAGCAACATTTGATCACGTGAGAGATGTCCCATGTTGCAGTGAAGTAGCTCTATCTTTTTCTTCTGCTCAACTGTCAAGCTCTCGGATGAATCTCTATGCAAAGTACCTGGAGTCCTTGGTTGCCTCTCACCCATGTCCTCGTCGTCGTCTTCGTCGGCGAGAACTTCATCGTCTGGAAAGGCTGCTCCAGCAAACTCTGATGTGCCTCGAGCGATGCCGTCCAGCAACGTCTTCACCAGGTCTGGGGGATAGACCTGCGCCTTCCTTGGCAGACCACTCTCCAAAGGAACATGACCATGCGACTTCGTGCACTGATACTGTGAGAGAAGGAAAGCCACTCCAAGATGGTTGGTCATAAGACCTGTGGTTTTCCGGGACAAACCCGTGGGCGTCACTCTGAGCCCAAGCTCGCATTGATCAAAAAGAAAATGATGAACCTGATCCTGCTTGGACAGCCACTGAGCTCCATGCGTCTGCCACGAAGAGGCTCCACCCGGTTGCTCCAACACAAAGGAGCGTCCTCTCTGTATCTGGTAGTCGGCCACCTGCAAGCATAGTTGCCACATGACCAACGCCTGCATCTGATCTCTGGTGAGCTTCTCTATTGGAATGCGTTCCAGGTTGACGTTCATCAGCTGGCTGAACATTCTGCAGTCAGGACTCATGATCACGATGTCGGGCTTTTGCTCTTCTAGGATCTGCCACATCTTCTTCCTGTCTCTCCACTGCAAGGCGTCCCACCCAGAAGTCAGGTCCAGGTTGGATGGCTTGGTAGTCTCCAGTCCTGCCTCTCGAGCTCGAAGCGACAGTCGTGGAGGGGAAAAAAGCTCCAAGATCTTTGGTGGTCGTCGACCCATGTTGATCAGGTCGCCATGGCAACACGGCCGCAAGCAACTAATCCGCTGGGCTCTAAGCTCCGCAGAGCTAGGTCGATCGACGGCGTCCGAACGACGAGGCCTACAAAATGAAGGCCGAGCTATCGTTTTCTCTTCTTTGCTTTGCCCCTTGGGGTCTTGAACTTTCTTGTCCGGCCTCTTGGGCTCTTGTCTTCTTTCTTGTTTGCTATCAAGCTCTTCTAACGGTTCTTGTGGCTCTCCTGAGCTCACTAGCTGACTCGGGCTCTTTGGCCCCTCTGGCAACACGGTGGAAAGTTTCTCAAGCGAATTCAACAGTGCTCGCTTCTGACGGCGTGAAAGGTGAGTTTCAGGTCCTTCGGGAAAATCATCAAAGAGCAGGACCAACTTCTTGATCCACCGGTCACGCTCCTTTTCTTCCACCTGTTGGCGGAGTTCATCACTGGGCCCACTGCCAAGCATCTTGTCAGCCCGGGTTTTCCAGGATACCCGAGGAAGCGCTTTCCTCACCTTAGCCAAGGTGAGCCCAGCATGAGCTTCGCCATAGGGGGTGCCCTTGATCTTGCGGTCGATGTAGGACTGATCCCGCAATCGTTGATGCTGAAGGAACGTGTGGTCTTCGATGTCCCGCTTAACCTTCTGGCGTTTAGCCTCCCGAAGCAACCATGCGCGCTCATCGTCTCCCCACTCATCTGCAACGCCGGGGAGAAGTCCAACCACCTCGTCACGCGGCATGGCATCGAAGAAGGCTAAGGTGGATCTTTGCCAACCCATGTCCAACAGCCTTTTCAGGCATACGCTCGGGTCGGTCATGGCAGCTCCTTGGCCCCATGCACCGACTTTGAGCCCCACCACTTCGAGGTTATGACACATTTCGGCGTCCGTTCCTACCGACTCCATATTTGGCGTGGGGTAGAGAAACTTCTTTGTCAGAGAACCTTTGTTGATAGAAATTTCCTATAATACAAGCGGTTTGGGCAACGCGTGAATTGGAAGGTCTCTCACAGGCTCTGCGTCGTCGTCTGCAGTCGACCCACAGGGTAATAAGCCACTGCAGGCATATTCGCGCAGGCTAGTTCTGCGTAGCACCACTGCGCCAATCGACAGGTAGCGGAACCCCAGCACCAGCCGAAACAACTGTGGCTGCATACGGGGGGCTGTCCGGGCGAAAACAACACAAGCAAACGTCAGACGAGTCGAAAACGCGGAGCCTGCCTGTGTTTCTGATAAAGCGCGCTTGTTTTGATGCATTGAAAAGTGCTAAGGCAAGCGGATTTATCGAAAAAATCTGCGCGAAGAAGTCGAATATGAACAGAGTAATGCCGGATTTGGACAAGGTGTTCTTTCATCTCCCCGGTCAAGGTGTGGTTTCATGCTTTTTGCACATCGCATTTCATGCTGAAAGAACCTTCAAAGATGGATGTGGTGTTTTTACCGTGTAAATCGCAGTACATTTGCACGGCCAAAAAAAGAACTATGTCTGAAAGTCAGCCCTTTTTTTGCCTGATCACTTGCATTTCATGTTGTACTCTTGCAGCCGTAAGCGTCGACACGAAGAAAATTTGTGTCTGCTTGTAATTTGTAGGTCCTAGGTCCCCTAGGCGTGTCTGCGCTATACGTGTGTAGCACCTGTTGTTCGTAGTTACTTGTA